GGTTTTTTAGGAGAGGCTGATCATGTAATTAAACCCACCTTATCTCTCTTCACGTTTCCATAATGGGATCCATTCCTTTACCAAAAATTTTGGAGGTATCTTGCATTAATCCTGAATATTGGGGTTTAATTGAAATAGGACTCTGGGAGTTGAATTTTGTTTCTTTATTCACTGAGTCATCTCTTCTTTTTTTTTTGGTGAGAGGATTCAGCCCATATCTGTTATATTCACTTATAATTTATATTAACTTCCATAACTGTAGCTCTTTTGTGTTATTTCTGTACTTTAAAAAATTAATGTATATTAAAGGACTCTGAGCTTCATTTTTTGATCAAATTACAAGATATTTGTTCTACTTGGTTTTCTTTTCCCTTTATGCAATAGATAAGTATTGCATTTCTTTACATTTGAATTTTCTTAATAATGAAACTTGAAGGTTATAAATAAAACTTTTTCTATGTTCTCTAGGTTTTGGTAAAAAAAAAATTACTGTTCTTTTTCATTGCTTTTTAGATAACTTAAATTTCAGTTTTTGATTTCCTCTTTCATTCAGTGACTATCTGCAAGGCTGTTTCTTAATTCCCCATATAGTTAAGATTTTTTTGTAGTCATCACTCTCTTATTTTTTTCTAATTATGTTGGATTATAATGACTTCACAGGAATGTGAAGCATTTTTTGAAGAAATCCTTAATAGGTTTCCTTTTTAGTCAGATTATTTCTACTGGACAGATCTATCCAATAGAAACATTATGTAAGTCACATGTATAAATTTGTATAGTAGAAACGTTAATAAAGCAAAAAGAAAGTTAAAAATAATTTTATAATGTGCTTCATTTAACCAGATATATCAAAAATATTGTCCTTTCATGTATTCAATATAAAATAGGGTCTTTTACATTCTTCCCCCCCCAAATCTATTGTATTACATTTATAGCATATCTTAAGTTGGACTAGCCACATTTCAGTAACTCAATAGTCATGTGTAGCTAGTGACTACTATATGATCAAATTTGCATATTTAAAATTTTTCTATTAAAAAAAATCTACTGAATGTGCTCAAGTCTGAAAAAGATGTTTGAAAAATATCCCCTTATAGTACCAATTTTGCTCAAGTTATATTTGGATTTTAAAATAATTTTTGCTTTCTATATATAACTGCTAGGTTGGTGGATGTAGGTTTAAAATTTGTATTTCCTTCACATAGTTTGTTTTTATCATTAAATAATATTCCTTCTAATCCTATGTAATTTTATCTGATATCAATATTGCTACTCCTATGTAATTTTTTTGTATTCCCCATCTCTTTACTTTTAACTTAAATTTTTTGTGTGTGTGTATGAAAACTTTGTTTAAAAAGCAATTTTTTAAAACTCCAATCTGAAAAGCTTGATGCAGCGGCATGTGTTAGGTCCATCTACTCAGGAGGCTGAGGCTACTCAGGAGGCTGAGGTGGGAAAGAGAATCCCTTGAGCTCAGGAGTTTGAGACCAGCCTAGGCAACACAGGGAGACCCTGTCCTAAAACACACACACACACACACACACACACACACACACACACACAACAAACCTCCCTCCAATCTGAGAGTTTCCTTGGTTGTAAGAATTTTGTCCATTCTTGATTTTATTGCATCCATTTAATATAAACTCATTCTTTTACATATATTTCCTTTTTCCTTCTTAATTTTGAAATTCTGTAGCACTCTTCATTTTCCATGTAGATGCAGTATTCAAATCTCCAACTCTGTTTTTCTTTCATTTATGGGGGTCCTCATTTGGTGCATCAGGTAATACAGGATTATCTTCCTACATCAAAACCTTTAATTATATCTGTGAAGTCTCTTTGCTGTGTAATATAACATTATTCACAGGTTCTAGAGATTAAGATCATTAGATACCTTTGTGGGACCATTATTCTGCCTACCACAGTCAGTAAGTTCAAAGTTAAACACACAACTTATTCAAAGCTTGAAGGTCTTTCTCTATTAAGCCGTTTATATTTTTGTTCCTAATTATCATAATACTATAAGAATGGAACTGGCAGTAGTTTGAAACTGCCAGGGGAGAGCACACCTCATTAACAAGGGTCCTGCATAATGAACATTTGTATACCTAACCTTGAGTTGTACCCCACATCTTTAAAATAAAAAAATTAAAAGTTAGCAAAATAAAATAAAATAAAAAATCTTTGTTCTTGTCATCCATAGGTTTCTGTTCGCCAGGCTTCGACACGATCATCTTACTCTTTAATTTTCTAATCTCCTCTATTTTCGCATATTAGTTCTGGAAGAGCATATTTATATTACTGATTTTATTTTCTGTATTATCAGTTTTGCTCTTTATTACTTTCTATGTACATTAAAAAAAAATCTTACTTTTAATCAGTTACTACCCCCCATAATATGACTAATCATTCTCCACAAATAATTGTTTTCATAAAGTTCTGAGGTAAATAATTCAGGTGTCTGAATTTTGTCAAATATAGACACCTCAAATGAAACACTCTCCCTGGCTTTACATATTCTCATCACCTAAGTGAAAACGAAACAAATAAGGGGAGCCCCTTAGAGTACTCCACTTTAACAAAGCTTATTTTTGAATGGGATAAAGGTAGAGAATAGGTTAGTGATTTCAATAAAGAGGACATTGACTACTTCCCAGAGTGTAGTCACACTAGATTGATGGTGACTGAAGTTATACTGTAAGGGTTTAAAGGACAGTGGGAGAGAAAATGAATTTGCATTTATTGAGAAAGTTCGATGAGAAGGCAGAATCAGAAATTCCCAGAAAGGTAAGCAGTCAGATAAATGATTTTCCAAGATGGAAAAGGCCTATTTGTTTGGAGACTGGACTCAGAGGGAAAGAAGATGGATTGATCCTTTTGTGGTTATTTGAAGGGTGCATTCTTTCTTCTAAATGCTTTCTATTGTGTGAGGTAAGCTGAACTAAAAACAGCTTTGTGTGGAGCTCCAACCAGAACTGTCTGCCTTTTTGGTTTTCTGGATCCTGCTGAGATGACAGCAGGTTTCCGGTTCTCTTGGGACTCATAGAAACATGCCTCTCCTTGCCTGGTGTGCTCTGTGAGAAGGTGCTAACAATTCCACAGAGAATCCACTGCAGGGGACTCAAGATGATCATCTTTGCACAAGAGTAAATGTCCTTTTTCCTCTCACTCTGAAAACCTTTTCAAACTCTTCCATAGAAAATAAATACTCACATACAGGCTCATAGCAGTGTTTTGAGCTGAGACATTTTAAAAAGAGATTTTCAATTTAGAAAATTATTTCAATCTAATGCTTTATACTTTCCATTTACAGCAGCACTATTCCAGTATATATAAAAACTGAATGTTGTTTTTGCCTTCAACTGCTAAAACTAGTCAGTGCTGTTAAAGACTCAGGACCTCTGAGTGACCCTGCTATGGCACTCTTTGCTGACCACTGAACGATGGAACCTATTTTAACCAGTTGTGTATCAGACACACTCATTATGCCCTATTCAGAGTGATTTCCTACACACATGGCTACCATGAAATTGCCCGTGCCTTCCTTTTACTTGAAAACTCTCTTCATCCTCAGATGTCTTCAAAAGCAAACCCACACCCAGCAAACTACTCAATGAATGTCTCCACAGGTGTGAGTTCCCTTGCCTGATGAGTAAAGGAGCTCATTTTAAAAAATCCCTGATAGTCTTCTTCTGATACTACTTATACAATTTCTAGAAAGCAATTGCCCAGGTGACTGTCCTTGACAGTCCAGTGACAGACCCTGTGAGAGTACTGGCTGACTCTCATGTTCCTGCTACATGTTGTTTACATGTCATTCCATGACAATTGGACTTTCAGGGCACCAAAGCATATCCAAACCCATTCTCACATAATCCTACTCAGTTAATGATGTGTTCAGGCCTGCAAAATATTAAGAGCATAATGCATTTTTAGGCTGTTCAGTTGCCCTTTTGCTTTCAAGCATTACACAAACCTTTCCTCAGAGGTGACCATGGGAGATGGGGCACTTTGTGATGGATCATCCCAAGGCAACATGTCCCACAAGATCTTTATTTGGTACGTAGTGTCAACAGAATGGTACATTTCAGATGTGTGAATGGTGCCTCATCCCTTAACTATGTGAAGTCTGGCTATTGTCAATCTAATTTGATGCATGTCCCAGGCATGGTAATGGGACAGTATGGTATAGCCTTATGAAAATGCTTTTTTACATTTCCAGAACCTACCATAGTTGTAGAACCAGGTCAGGGCTGAGTACAGTCCTAATATGCCATTGACCAACCATATAACCTTGCAGTATTTACTTCAATAATTTGCCCTCAGCCTTCAGAGGGAGCATATTTCTGCAAACACTGATTTCAGTTTGGTGAAATGGATTTCAGATGTCTGACCTAGAAAATTTTAAGAGAATAAATGTATGTCTTAAGCCACCAAGCTTGTGATAATTTGGTACAGCAGCCACAGGAAACTAAAACTCCCACTTTCCCAGGTTTACCTGCTTTAAAAACCATAGGGTTAACATTATAATTAAACACTGGCCAATTCTTCCTACATCCCCAACATTTATGTGCAATTAAAAGCTATCTTTAATTTATTTTAAACCAGAAGTATTATTCATATATTCGAATATTTCACCACTACATACTATAACATTGACACAAAATGATTCACAGCAAACCACCTGGCTTACTCTTCAAACAAAATGCAAAAAGATAAGGTTCAAAGTGCTGTAGAGAACCTGCTGTCCTGGCACTACAAAATGATCATCGTCTGCCTTGGGATTACGTTTAATAAATAGCAAAGTGCATACAGATATTTACAACAGTTTTAAAGACAGAGGTCCTATTTGTGTAGTCATAGCAACAAATTGGCGTTGGGATGAACCTGTTTATAAACTATTGAGTAAGCTGTTCTAAAAGTCGAGTTCACTGACACTCTCGCAAAAATGTCCTACTATTCCTCAAGATGCGCTTTAAGTCAAATGCAGACTTGAATTATTTGGTGTCGATGCGTAGCAACTGCTCTTTGCCATTTATTATCAGGGACTTTAACTCCCCGTCTTCTTCCACTTCCACCCTTTCTTGGCCATTCTCATTGATTTTCTTGGTGGTGATTTTTTTGCCGTTAACTATTTTTGTGGAAGTCGACATGGACTTGAAGCTGCCTGTCCCACCGCTACCACAGGACATGGAGAAGGAAGAAAGGCCCCCATTTCCCACAGATCCAAAGGAAGTAAATCCTGTATCAAAAGGAGAAAAACTACCCCCAAAAGCTGGAAATTCACTGAAGGTGGAGAAAAGGGGTGTGGACCCTCTGCTTCTGTTTCCCCGGGAGGCCCTCCGACCCCCGAAGAGATTCTCAAACGGGTCTCCGAAGAAGTCAAACGAAAATGGGTCCCGGCCGCCGAAGAACTCCCTGAAGACCTCGGCCGGGTCGCGGAAGGTGAAGACGTACTCGAAGGAGTCTCGGAAGGGCCCGCCGCCAGCACCGCGGCCGCCGCCATCCACTCCGGTCTCGCCGTAGCGGTCGTAAACGTCGCGTTTCTTGGCGTCCGACAACACCTCGTAGGCCTCAGCCACCTGTTTGAATCTCCTCTCCGCTTCCTCCTTGTTCTCGGGATTTTTGTCAGGGTGCCACTTGAGCGCCAGCTTGCGGTACGCCTTTTTGATGGCCTCGGACGAGGCCTGCCGGGGCACGCCCAACACCTCGTAGTAGTCCACCATGTTGGACGGCGGGCACGGCCCAGCGGGCCACGGGCGCGGGAAGCAGCGCGGCTGGCAAATCCCGGGGCACAGGCCCGAGTGCTTGACGAGGCTAGGCCACCCGGGAAGAGCGCCCCTTATGACGTAGCCGCATCACATTGGCTGAGGCCAAGGCGGATTCGCCTCCCAGGATGCCGTGCTCCTGAGAGTTGCCCAGCTCGCAAAAGGCTCTGTGTGACGCGACTTTCCGCCTAGGCACGGCGGCCCCGCCCCCCCAGGCCCCGCCTACTCTCCCAGGCTCATCCACTGCGGACCCCAGCGTAAGTGGTCTTCAAGAGGATAGTAAGCGGGGGAATTTAGGGGACAAGTAGAGGGCCATGACTCTGGCTGCCTTGGGAAACGTTTTTCCGAAAGTGGGCTTTATCAGGCTTTCCCCTCTGCTTAGGGGAGGAATAGGGTGATGGGAGAGAGTTTAGTCTGACCATGGGCTGAAGGCATTATGTCATTTGTCTAGGACTGTAGTTCTCAGATATTTTGGCCTGAGTTCTCAAATGTGTTTATTTGGATATCTATCACATGTACTCCATTAGAAATTAAAACAGAATTTAAAAGATATCTTTATTGGGCAATTTAATAACAAACGCATTCATTACACGCTAACAAATCATATTTTTATTTAACTGTTTTTAACTCCCCCCCCGAAAATGAGAAAAGTATCATTGTTCCTTTTGTTTTTCCATTTCTCTTTGGTACCTGGCTTAATAGAAGAGAGCTGGATTCTCATGTCTGCTTCTGCGCTTAATCTATTGTGATGTTACACATCACAAAGATTGACCTCTGGAAAACACTGTACACTTGTGAGAGAACAATAGTGAAAAAAAATCAAATAGCATTATTATGAAAATGGTTTTGACTTTGCAAAATTCCTATGAAAAGTTCTTGGTAATCCTCAGGGTTCTCTGGTTCATACTTTGAGAATTACTAGTCTATTACAGTAGTCCTTCAGTATTCTGGAGAGATTAGTTTAGGATATTCATTTCAAAATATGGATTCTCAAGTTGTTTATATAAAATGTTGTAGTATTTGCATTTGACCTATGTACATCCTTCCGTATACTTCCAATCATCTCTAAATTACTTATACCTAATGCAATATAAATGCCATGTGAATAGTTGTTATACTGTATTATTTTTTATTGTATTATTTTTATTGTTGTATTATGTTTTATTCTCTTTTCCAAATATTTTTGATTTGCTGTTGGTTGAATCTGCAGATGTGGTCTCCAAGGATACAGAGTGCCCACTGTACCTGTTATTCACTTTTCTTGATTGCTAAAAGAAACTCCACCTTGTTTTAGATTCTCTCAGGGAAAAGGAAAGAAAGCACTATCCACTATATCAATATCATTAAAACTTGCATGCCATGTTTATAGCAATGTAGGTAAACTTGGGGTAGAGTGATTATTTTTACTAAAACTGTTATAGCATGATCATGATTTGTTTTTGGCATTTTTTGACATTTGTATTCCCTTCACCTCCTCTTTATTCTCTTTGATACAATATTCTTTGCTTTTATAAATTATTAGGCAACATACCAGTAAAGCTGACTTAATTCTAAGAGGAAAATGATTAACCAATGAACTTTCTAAGATTTCATCATAAAGGGTAGTAAGTCTAATGGGGATGTGTTATCTCACCAGAACAAACTGTTGAGTTTGTATCACCTCTAGTGACTTGGCATGAAGGTCTGCACTTGGCACTTGGTTAAGCACGCAATAAACAGTAGTAGGAAGCTGATTGGTAGAGTTCAGGGTGAACAGAGCAATTTGAGAACATATCTAAGCAAGTTTGGGGAAGGGCAAGTGATCCAGAATGGCTGGAGGATAAAAGGCAGAGGGCAGAGGTCAAGCAAAAAGGCTAAAGAGGAGGGATAAGTTTGGACAGATGAACTGAGGTCCGGTCCAGGAGTCCTGGGGTCAAAGTTGAGGAGTCTAAATTTTTTCCTGGGCCCTAGGAAGCTGTTGACCAAAGTGCCAGAAGTGGTGGTGGTGTGGAGCAGTGCAGGGGAAGCTGATGCAGTGAGTCAGAAGGGACAGCTAGGGTTTTAGTGCACTGGGGAATGGGGCCCAGAAAACAGGACCTGAGAGAAGTGGTAGAATCAGATTCAGCACCTGCTTGCTTGGATATAGGGCCTAGAGCAAAGGAAGAAGGGAAGTCAACTCTACACAGGATCAATTTTTGAGTTCTTGTCTACAAAATCATGGACTGGCACCCAAGTAAGCAAAGCCATAACCTTGCTTATAACTCATATATGTACAATATAAATCTATAGTCTAATAGCAGATATGGATAGATATGGAAACTGCTAAAGGATACAAGACAGAACAGAACAAAATGCTCTGAAGATTCAAGGAAGATGGGTTTGATTTCCTAGAGGGTCCTGTAGATGATTCACAGGGCAGGGGACATGTTTACATTGCTCCTTTAGTTTCAACAAGCCCCTCCATTCTGATTTGATCAAAGGAGCTAGAGGTGTGCTTAGTGGTGGGCTATTAACTTCTGGTTTCGTCTTAAAAGGAAAGCACCTTCTAATGGGCTCCAGGAATGCTTTCACAGACACTTCACTCTTTAGTAGCCCCCAAAATAAGACCATATCACTGCTCTGCTCTGCAATTCCTGGGACCCCAAAGCATCCTTTCCTGTAATTGCCTGCTTGTGAGGTTTTTTTCCCCTCTGTTAACTATATCCTTTCTTACAGTCAGGGACCATTTCTAACTTGGCTTTCTGGCCCCAGCTCCTAGCATAATGCCTGGCACAACTTAGGGCTCAAATGTTCCACAAATGTTTGGTAAGTGAAGTTAAGTAGCAATGGATTTTGAATGTTGAGTCTATTCTGGTTCCAGGGCAGAGTTTTATTGGATTGCTTGGTAGTGGTTCTCAGTCATAATTCATGAGCGTGAATGTGGATTGCCTGCTATTCAGATTAGTAAATAACATTCCCTGGTCAGGGGCAGAGTTGTGGCCCCAAAGCATCCAGGTACACAGCAGCCTCTAAAAGCTTGGAGGCTCTGAGTGATGCAGGAAAATCATAAAATCATTACAGTGTTAATGATTTACTTTGCTTCCTGACATCTGCAGATGAACTCTCATAACATTGGGACTTCGGAAGAATTATCACCCCTTAAAGATTAAATTGAACTGTGAATCTCAGAATTGCAGATAAGGGCACAACAAAGAGCAAAAGCATTACTGCATCTTTTCTGCTTATCCAGAGTCTTAGTCCTAAAGAATGAAGGTGCTTGGGTGTGGGAAAGAGCTTCAGAATATAAGTGTGTGTTCATGTGTGTGTTCACATACATGTGTGCACCCATATAGAAGCACATGCAGAACTGGAGGTCTGTTAGGCCTGTTGAGAATGGATGATCCAGGGAAAGGAACTATTTTCCTACTCTAAGTATCAGAATGAGAGAGTACCATAAATGCCTGTTACTATGTCCCACAAGACACCAAAGCTTTAAAGTCAGATATTTCTTCATGATCCTCCAAGCACATCCCCAAGTATGGGTGGCCAGTGATATGGTCAAAATGTTGGGATCTGTGTGTTCATCTTGGGATTGTATAGAAAAGTAATGGATCCCAAAATAAAAGAGTTAAATGCTTAGCTTTGTCTGCACTCTAGTTCTGCCTTTCTTTGGGAGGGAGCGTTTCTGATCAGCAACTATGGTACTTGTTCCCTTCACTTTGTTTCCTGGGATACCTGTTGGTGCTAGGCATTGCTGTGTGAGCACATTCTCCTTGGCCTCAAAGTCCTACCATCTTCATTCTCTCCTTTTATTTTTATGGGATAATGACTTGGGATTATAACTTTATTTTTGACATCTAATTGGTTATAAATTTCTAATGGTCTGGGTACCACTACAGGCCATGGGAAGTTCTTAAGAGCAGAGGCTCTAGGTACTGACATACAGGACTCTGGCAAATTCCTTTTCTTCTCTCAGCATCAGCATCTTTGTTTGTAAAATAGGAAAGAGAGTACAGTATCTGCCTCTATAGGATAGTTCTAGGGAATTTCAAAAGATGTGTTGTAAAATGCTTAAAACAATACGTGGTACATAGTCCATGCTCAAATATAAATTCGTATGATTGTTTTTGTTTGCTTTTCCCCTTTACCTTCAACTCAGTCATCAGAATTTCCCAAAGTGTCTTACTTCTCCTGGACCTTGGACCAGTGTCATGAGTACAATTTAACTTGCCTTAATTTATCTATTTGGTTTTCTACTGTGAACAAAAGTTCTCTGGAAAGGAATCTGAAGGAAAGAGACTTTATTCCAGTGAACAGTTTGCAAACTGGGAAGATGCAGTCTCTCATGTAAAATAAAGGTGCGGGCAGGGCTCTGGTAACACCCCTGTAATCCCAGTGCTTTTGTCTGACTGAGGCGGGAGAATCTCTTGAGCCTAGGAGATCAAGACCAGCCTAGGCAACATAGCGAGATCTCCCTACAAAAAACTTTAAAAAATTAGCTGAGCATGGTGACATGCGCCTGTAGCACATGCAGAACTGGAGGTCTGTTAGGCCTGTTGAGAATGGATGGTCCAGGGAAAGGAACTATTTTCCTACTGGGGTGGCTGAGATGGGGGAAATTGCTTGAGCCCAGGAGGTCAATGCTACAGTGAGCTGGGATGGCACTACTGCACTCCAATGTGAGCAACAGAGTAAGACTGTGTCACAAAAATAATAATAATTAAAATACTAAATAAAAATAAAAGTGCAGTACAGAGAACAAAGGGAAAGCAAGTTTTTAAGTTATTAAAAAAACACAAAAAACCAAGATCCTAATCAGGCTGGTTTATGCAAATGAAGGATTGAAACTCCCTTAGAAATCATTGGTCAGTGCAGCTGAGTTCTAATTGGTTGATACTGCTGAGCTCTTATCAGTTGATACAGCTGAGCCCTGATTGGTCAAGGCAGGCGAGCTCTGATTGGTTTGTTTAGGTGAGCTCTGAAAGTTCCAGTAATAAAATACCTCTTGTTTTGGAGGGAACTCAGAATAGTTGTGTGACTCCTGGTCAGTAAATGGCCACTTGACTAAAATTAAAATGTAGGCCCAGTCACTAGGAATCTATCCTGAAGGATTGGCTCTTTCAGGTTCACGCTATTTCGGAATGTTTTACCACTGCCTCTTCGAGTGAATACAGATCTGTCCTTGGGGAAGGCTTCAGTGTACATGTACTCAGATGAATTTTCCTTTCCAGTCGCTCTCTACCGCAGCAGGCCACTCCACCCGGTTCCACCCCAACCTCATTTCCTTCTTTGTATGGCTGACAATCTCTGAGTCCTTGTGCATCTGTTTAAGCTGTGAGTCTGTCTCTCCAGATGGAGCATGAGTTCTAGGGAGTCAGGAGACTCGTCTGTGGTGGGCTCTGTTGCAGCCTCAGGACCCTGTGCTGTGCCAGACTCGATAAATATGTGTTGGATGCATAAATTAAACAACAACAACAACTGGGCACAGTGACTCGTGCCTGTAATCCCAGCATATTGGGAGGACAAGGTCAGAGAATTGCTTGAGCCGAGGAGCTTGTGACCAGCCTGGGCAACATAGGGAGACCTCGTCACAAAACATCAAAAAATGAGCCAGTTGTGGTGGTGCGCATCTATAGTCTCAGCTACTAGTAAGGCTGAGGTGGGAGTATCCCCTGAACCCAGGAGGTCGAGGTTGCGGTGGACCGTGAATGTGCCATTGCATTCCAACCAGGGCGACAGAGTGACACCCAACTCAAAAAAGAAAAAAAAAAAAAAAGAAAGAAAGAAAGAAGGAAAGAAAAAGAGAAGAAAAAGAAAAAAGAGAAAAATGAGTGGAGGCCAGGGAATCTTGGAGGACGACATTCTAAAGGTTTCCATGACCGAAGTTAGGGTTGCAATGTCATGTTCTTTTCTTTCTAAAAGGCTTTCTACAAAGCTTTCTGTTTCATTTCTGAAAAGGGAGTCTGCTTTGTCATTACATGGTCCTTTCTCCGCTGGTAACACTTCTTGGACTACGGAAATAATAATTTAATGGATCCAGAGGTACTGGAGGTACTTTGCTTTCTGTGTTCATTGAAAAATGTGATTTGAGTAAGAAATTACAACCAGTTGTTGCATATTTAAAAAGCGCAGTGAAGCTCCACCCTTTTTATCTCAGAAAATAGACTTCCTGCTATCTTTGCTGACTGACGGCTTTAGTCATGTGACCCAATCAAACATTAACTGGGTGTATAGATTGGTTCTTGCGACATATAAATAGGAGAGGGCGAACCTCTGGCAGGAGCGAAGGTGCCATGGCCGCGGGGTTCCGGGGCTGGCTCCCGCCTGTTTTATACCTGCTGCTATGCGCTGTCGGTCCCGGTATATCCCACGCCAGGAAGGTGCTGTTGGTCCCAATGGATGGCAGCCACTGGCTGAGCATGCGTGGGACCATCCAGCAGCTGCAGCAGAGAGGACATGAAATAGTGGTCCTAGCGCCTGATGCCTCGGTGTACATCAAAGAAGGAGCATTTTACACCTTGAAGAGCTACCCTGTGCCATTCCAAAAGGAGGATGTGGAAGCGTCTTTTGTTGGTCTTGGGCATAATGCTTTTGAGGACATTCCTTTCCTGCAGCGTTTGATTAAAACATACAAGAAAATCAAAAAGGACTCAGCTCTGCTTTTGTCTGGCTGCTCCCACTTACTACACAACAAGGAGCTCATGGCCTCCCTGATGGAAAGCAGATTCGATCTGATGCTGACAGACCCGTTCCTTCCTTGCGGCCCCATCCTGGCCCAGTACTTGTCTCTGCCTATTGTATTTTTCTTGAATTCACTGCCCTGCAGCTTGGACTTTGAGGCTACCCAGTGCCCCAACCCATTGTCCTATGTGCCCAGGCCTTTGTCTGTCAACTCAGATCACATGACCTTCCTGCAACGGGTGAAGAACACTCTCATTGCCTTGACGGGTTGCTTTATGTGCAATGTGGTTTATTCCCCTTATGAATTACTTGCCTCAGAAGTCCTTCAGAGACATGTGACGATCCAGGACCTTTTAAGCTCTGCATCTGTCTGGCTGTTGAGGACTGACTTTGTGAAGGATTACCCCAGGCCCATCATGCCTAATATGGTTTTTGTTGGTGGGATCAACTGCCTTGACAATAACCCACTATCCCAGGTGTGTATTTGATTAGGGCCATTACATACCTATGTTCTTGTAAATACAGTATTTTGGATAGATGAACTTGCCCCAGATAAATGCTTAATGAGCATATTGAGATAGTTTTAAGTGCACTCTTTTGTTAATTTCTGAGTCTCCTAGGCCTACGTTTTTCTGTCTTTGGCATCACCTTCTAAATTATTTCTTTGTATCTGAGGTTTTGGCAAAGCATGCTTTGGGTATTTTATTCTCTGTGCTCCAGTGGATAGTAATCAGTTAAAAGGAATAAGTATTAAGTGTCATAAGCACAGAGCTCTAGATTTCGGGCACCTTGCAGAAAGCTAAAATATGCAACATGTACCTTGCCCTGGATTGGATCAGGCACACAAAGTTAAAGAATGATGAAATAGATATCTTTCTTTGATATCTGTAGATTCTGGCACAGAAAGTTGCCTTTGTGGTCCTGGTTAAAACTCCAGTTTCTAGGTATTCTAATAGGAAGCTAAATCCTGCAGTCCCTTCTTTTCTAATTACTGAATCACCGGACAGCCAGGTTCTGATGTTGGGCAGAAGGGTCATGGGTCTCACTTTCTGACATGCTAGTATGTTAATTTTTCCTCTGTAGGATTTGAAGTATGCAAAAAGTAGCATTTCATCCTCTTCTTATAAATATCAACAGAGATGATAGAGAATAATAGGAGAGTCTCCTTCGGATGAAGAGTTAGGGAAGGACACTTCAAGGAGGTGACATTTGGGGCATTCATTCATTTATTATTCAAAGATTGGCTGAGAATCTACTAGTAGCCCAGGCACTTCCTAGGTCTGGCTCCTATTAAGGGACTGTTATTACCTTTGGGAAGCACTGGACTTTGTTTCCAGTATGCCTTCAGCGTGATTCATATTGTAAATAACCATGTAGTTGTCATGGTGAGGTGAAACTATGAGCAGCAGAAAGAATGTCCAATGAGAAGTCAGGTGCCAGGTTGACGCCTCCACCTAACTGCCATGTGACAGATTCCCCTGCCATGAATCTTTGAGTCTTATCTGTAATGTGGAAGAAGATTTGATGACTCTCCTGGCCCTCCTGGATCTAAGATTCTGGTTCCCGTGGCCTATTGGAAGAAGAAGGTATTACTGATTTTCCAAAAGCAAGACAAGAAAACCTAACAGTATAGAAAACCATTAATGATTCCCTTTCATGTAAAGGAAAAGGAATAGGTAAAATATCACCTAATCAATGGGCACAGATCAAAGGAAAGAAATCTAGTAGCATGTTCGAATTAAAGAGGTATTAAAGAGAAATATTTTTGGCATCATTGTAAAGGGTCCAAGAAAAAGCAATTGTGTTTCACATTCACTTTGAAGTTTATTTATTTTTAGAGTCGGGGTCTCACTCTGTCAATCAGGCTGGAATGCAGTGGCACAATCACAACTCACTGCAGCCTTGACCTCCTAGGCCACCATGCCCAGCTTTTTTATTTTTATTTTTATTTTTGTAGAGATGAGATCTCACTAGGTTGCCTAGGCTGACCTCAAACTCCTGGACTCAAACAATCTTCCTGCTCGGCCTTCCAAAGTGCTGGGATTGCAGGTATAGCCAACATGCCCAGCCTTCACTTCGAAGTTTAAAACTTTGGAGACGAGCACGCATAATGGAACGAACTTCTACAAAATGTCCTCACCAAGTATTTGTTAAATGAGTGAAAGAGAAAGAAAAAAAAGATACAAACTGAGGACTAGTTACTGGATAGATAGTAATCCCCGATAGTTCTTTATACTCCTACAATTACATGCAAACTTATATATAAACATATAAAATTGTTTTGATTGCTTTTCCTACAAAATATGGTAACACTGTATCCCACAACTCACTTACCAATATGTCATGGATATCGCTCCAGTTTTAAATAGTATATATATTTTATATTTTTAAACTATGAAATAGTATTTTGTGGTATTTGTGTGCTACAGTTTATTCTACTAGCCATCTAATCTAGTTCCCCACAGAAAAACATTAAAATTTGTATTCTAGGATTTTGTTGTTGTTGTAACTTCAAACACCATCTTTTTATTTTTTTAACTTTTAATTTTTTTATTTTAAAGATGTGGAGTACAATTCTGGTTAGGTGTACAAATGTTCATTATGCAGGTACCCTTGTTGATGAGGTGTGCCCCCCCTCCCCAGGCAAATTCCCACTACTGCCAATCCCGCCTCCCCACCCCGCCCTGCACCCCACAGTTTCCTGCTACTGCCAATCCTTTTCTTACAGTATTGCAATAGTTGTTCAAGGTCCGCTTATGAGTGAGAACATGTGTTACTCAGTTATTTGTTTCTGTGAAAGATCACTCAGTATTGTAGACTCTAAGTCTATCCAGGTTGCTGCAAACACTGTTGTAACAAAGGTAAAAAATATTTTGTAATTTTCTTGATATTTGTTTTTTTCCTTATTCATTTTTATTAAGTGTTTTACAGGTTTATTTCACTACTGTAAATGTGTTATATTTTTCATTTCTATATCTAGGTGATCTACTCACTATTCAGTCACCTTGCCAAAATGTTGATTTTCATAATTAAAAAAAAACTAGCATGCATTCATTTGTTGATAAAGGAATTTGGGTTTCTTATGTTCCAAATTTCATGCCAAATATTAATGTAATTGCATTCACTGGAATCTCTAAAAACAGTTGAATAATCTGGCAATAAGAAAGATTTCTGTCTTGCTACTGATTTGAATGGTAATTGGTCTTTATTTTATTTAATCATTTTCTTTAAAAATTTTTTTTTCTGTTTTAAAGATGTGGGGTACAATTCAGGGTTAGGTATACAAAGGTTCATTACACAGGTACCCTCTAGCAGTTTCCCACTACTGCCAATCCCTTTCTTATAGTATTATGATAATTGTTCAAGGTCCACTTATGAGTGAGAACACGTGGTACTCAGTTCTTTGTTTCTGTGACAGATTACTCAGTATTATAGACTCTTGAGTCCATTCAAGTTGCTGCAAAGTTCATAATTTTGTCCTTATTTAATCATTTTCTATTACTTGCCATTTATGGCAAATAGTCTTTATTTATTTAAATAATTTCCTTCTTTATATTAGGAGGATTTCCTTCTTTTCATTGGTAGGAGAGGCTGCTGAACTATCTTTCTGGCATTTATTGATACAATCATATCTCTTTACCGTGTAAATTTTATCCCTGTGGTGAATAGAATGACTACCTATTGGTTGCTGCCTTGTTGGTTCAAGTAGGCTTAGGTGTGAAACTAATCTTTGTAAGTTGTACCTGACAGCAGCCACCTTTGTCTTCTTTAATGTTTTAATCTGAAATTCCACTTTTTGATGTAAATATCACTACTCCTGTATTATTTTTGTTTATATTTCCCTAGTACCTTTTTAGTACTCTTTTTTCTACAGACTTTCTTTCTTTTTCTTATTAAACAACATGGAGCTGGTATTTTGAATCTGGTCAGACATTGCTTTAGGAGGTGATTTTTGCCTGTTTGAATTTAACAGTTGATATACTTGACTAACTCTCCCAATTTATTTTGTGCTTGATTTATTTTTTGCCATTTTTCCTTTTCCTGATTCCTGGTTGGTCAAGTCACTATTTATTTTTTCTTTTCCCTTTTATTAATTAAAAATACTATACTTATACTCCTCTAATTATAATTGTCCTATTCTCAATACTCTTGATAAAAGTCCTACACTTCAAGAATAAAGATGAGACTTTATCCTGTTAAGAAAGTCCACAGAGAGAAAGAGAGTATGCATATCGGTCCCGGAAATGTTTCCACCCTTTTATTTTTCTGGACTTCTTACAGAGAATGCAGCCTCTTTATTCGTTATAAGTAGTGTAATTATGGATGACTTTATTGTCAATAAGTAGTGTAATCATGGATGACAATATGGCCTTGACTGATTATTTACAGATTAAAATGATATTATTATGCAAGAAAAGAAAGTCCATAGAGAAAGCACAATTTGGCATTGGACATGTCTTTGGTGTACCTGAAGTAAAGGAGATAGTAAAACAATCTTGAGAGGAAAGGAATGAAACTCAAGAAATCTAAGATGTCATTCCCCTGCCAGGGTGAGAGACTATCTTTGTGGATAGTAGTGATTTAGAGACGATAGCTACAATGTTGGGTATGAGAAAAATAGCCAACCTGAAGATCAATGAGGACAGAGACTTTGAGATGGCGAGAAGAAAGTTTGGGAGAGGGAAGGTGGAAATACATGTGAGCAACTCATGATGCATGGTGGTGAAGTCCCAATATGCTGTCTAAGTGCAAAAGAAGGATTCTGGAGAAACAAAAAATTTTCCCTGTCTTTGGAAGGGAAAATCTAACAAAAAGCCTGAACTAAAAATACTAAACTCTCAGTAAAAGTTAGGAGCTATTTTAAAGGTTTCTTCTTAAATGGGGAGGCCTTATCACATCAGGGAAATCTTTCACTCAGGGAAGTCCTGTCCTTTTTGGAAGGGGATAAACAGTGGGGAAATTGAAGGTTATTGTCAGTCAACATGTTGTTTTACTCTTTGGCCAACTGTGAAGTCATGATGAAGTTTAGGGGAAGTTTTGCCCAAGTAGAGGATGAACTTTACCTTTACTGAGCTGGTAAGAGCTGATTTACGGACCTTGAACAATTATCAATTACCGTAATACTATAAGAATAGGATTGGCAGTAGCAGGAAACTTTCCCGGGGTGGGGGAGGCAGGGTTGGCAGTGGTGGGAATCTGCTGGGGGGGGGGCACACCTTAATAAACAAGGGTACCCGCATAATGAACATTTGTATACTTAACCCTGAATTGTACCCCACATCTTTAAAATTAAATTTTTTTTTAAAAGCTGGCTTAAGCTGGGCTTGGTGGCTCAGCCTGTAATCCCGCGCCTTGGGAGGCTGAGGTAAGTGGATTGACTGAGCCCGCGGGTTCGAGACCCGCCTGGGCAAACTGGCGAGACTTCATCACTACAATAAATCAAAAATGAGCTGGGCGTGGTAGTGCGCGCCTGTAGTTCCAGCTACTTGGAAGGCTGAGGTGGAAGGATTGCCGGAGCCCAGCAGGTCGAGGCTGCGGTGGCCGGGAGCGGCCACTGCACTCCAGTCTGGGCGACAGGGTGAGACTCCAACTCAAAAAAAATAAAAATAAAAAAAGCTGGCTTAGAGTGAGGAGTTGGCCATGATAACACAATCTCTGCAGTTTGCCCTTTGTAGATCTGTAGATAAACTTTTGTGCCATTTAAACTTTAACAATGTCCTGCTATTTAACTTTGGGTGTTTATGGACCTGTGGGCTCAGTTTTGTGTGAATCACATCCAGTTGATTGCTGAGTGGATGTGAGAGAATGTACAAGAAGGGGAAATTAGACCCAGCCCTCTCCAGATGAGGTTAAATGTAAGAGTAGATTTCCTGAAGGAGCGAAAGTCCTAGGAAATTTAGATAAGCCATTTACCATTACTCAGTAGGAAGAGCTTAAAGAACACTTGGAAATGAGTTGTCTTTCCCCAAGAAAGGGGGATGGGAAGGGAAGAAGGACGTAGTATTGATTCTAGGGAGGAAGGACTTCAGAAAAGCCATCTCAGGATGCCAGAACAAAAAAATGCAGTGTTGTGGTGGAGAAGATGACTCTGGGCTCCCTTACCTTTTAGATGAGCCTGATAGAAAAGGCCAGTATACAGCTGCTATGAACCAGTGGGCTCATGAGGGCTGGGCTGGTGTGGGTGGATGGGGGAAAGCTAGTCATGGGCTTTCCTGGTCATATTTCAGGTCAAGCTTGGCAGAAGTCCTGCTGTGCAAGTTGTATGAGCTGATCCGTGTCAGAAGTCTCCTATATCTTACATCTGGGTGACCAATGACCTTGTTGCCTAGGACTGTTCAGGTTTTAGTATTGAAAGTCCCATGTCCCTGGAATCCCTTCTGTTCTGGCAAACCTTACCACATCACCATCTTATTAGTGCTCTCAGTATTCTTTGGAAACATAAAACCACTTGGAAGACTCTTAGAGAATTAGTTAGATCATCAATAATCAATAGTTGGGGAAGAATTACCATACTTATGCTTTGCTCTATTTCCTGTAAGTAGAATTACCATTGTGTGTGTGCATATACAGGTATGTAGCTATACTTTTCTTTTGGAAAATTAACACATTACTTCGATTTTGCATCTCAAGGAAGAACCTCACAGATAACCCTGTAGGTAAGAAGCCTTTCTCCTTTGGAAGAAAATAAGGGAGGAGAAAATGCTGTAAAACTCACATTAATAATTTTTGACTCTCTCTCTCTCACACACACACACACCCACACACACACCTTTAATCTTATTCTTAAGAGGAAGAAACCTAATTCATAGCTTAATGTATGTAGTCACCAAAGAATATGAGAAAAAAAATAACTGGAAATTTCTTTTCTGGTTCTAGGAATTTGAATCCTACATCAATGCTTCTGGAGAACATGGAATTGTGGTTTTCTCTTTGGGATCAATGGTCTCAGAGATTCCAGAGAAGAAAGCTATGGAAATTGCTGATGCTTTGGGAAAAATACCTCAGACAGTAAGAAGATTCTATACTACTCATTCATATCTGTCTTCACAGGAGCCCAAATCCCAGACTTCTAGTATCTAGATTAATTATTAGTTGAAACTTTAGATCTGGATTTTCTCTGTCACTTTCCAACTATTAATCCAACGTTTTTTGTATTATTATTATTATTTCTGTTTTGCAATTTTAACCCTCAAATATTCTGTTAAATCATGGTCCACTTTACTCAGAAGTCTCATTTTCTCTGAGAGGCTCAAAAGTGTATTAAAGATAATTTTATTAAAAGTAAAACAGCATATTGTTTTTTCACATTAAATAGGACTGCTTTTCCAAAAAGCTGTTAGTTCAGACACAATTTATTTCTTATATTTCTGCTTTTATAGTTCTGTATCTGCTCGTTTTATTAAATAAACTTTTCCCTGAAGTGCAGAAAAGTGAAAAAGTCGTAAGTGCACAGCTGGATGAAATCACATAGTGAATACCCCCTGGTAACCAAGCCTCCAGAACAAAGCACTGAATATTGCCAGCTCCCAGAGCCTTTAGTTACTGAGCCTCCCAGTCTTGTAAAGGATCCTCCTTCTAGCTACTACTGCAGATTTTAAAAAACAAATCACGTCATATTCTTTCTTTAAACACTGTTCTTTTGTCCCTGCTAGGTTTTGTGGCGGTACACTGGAAGCCGACCATCGAATCTTGCAAAGAATACAATACTTGTCAAATGGCTGCCCCAAAATGATCTGCTTGGTATGTTGGAAGAATTTGACATGTGGGTCCAACCAGGGTTAGATTAAGAAAATGATTTAGGCACAGCTGTTCTAAAGGACTGTTTAGCTTGAAAATAATATGGCCAACATATTGTACATTGCTTTATCTAGTGGGGTATCATAACCCACATTTTCTTCTGGAACCCTCTGTAAGGGCCGTATGTGGCTAACACTGAGTCCTTAGAGTCTTTTCAGAACCCAGTGTCAGATGGTGAAACTCAGATACCTGACTGTTGGCACTCTCCTTGTTTTGCCTCTCAGGTCACCCAAAGACTCGTGCCTTTATCACCCATTCTGGCTCCCATGGTATTTATGAAGGAATATGCAATGGCGTTCCAATGGTGATGATGCCTTTGTTCGGTGATCAGATGGACAATGCAAAGCGCATGGAGACTAAGGGAGCTGGAGTGACCCTGAATGTTCTTGAAATGACTTCTGCAGACTTAGAAAATGCCCTAAAGATAGTTATCAATGACAAAAGGTAAGAGAGAAGGTACAGAAGAATACTTCCTGTACTTTGGCCAAAGCATTCATAATAAATATTCAAATATGAAAATATATACAAACCTGTATTTACAAATAAGATCATTTGGGGGTTAGCATTATTCACTTTATGAAAGGATTCTTGAGTTCATATACAGTTTATCATAGAATTTATTTAACATTTTATTTCTCCTGGTAGATTAAAAACTTCAATTTATAAAAAAAAAATGCCATCACAATAGACGTCTGATCTATACATTCCTTCACAGAGAGAAATATTCTATTAGAAGGTGCATAGTATACATAAGATAAAAACAACCCAAGTGCTTAGAAGTACAACTTTTCCCACTACTGGAAAATGTGAGAAATTGTATCCATGGGTTTTATAAATGAGGGCATCATAAAATTATACAGACAAAGGCTTAGAATAAAAGCAAAGGCAATGTGATCCCAAAACTGTTCAAAAGGCAAAAGTCAACTGATCAAATTATTTCTGCATGAAATTGAGTGTGTTACTGTCAAGCTCAGTAATAATAGGCTGAACAAAGCTTTATGGGAAGAAGTGATGGCTGGTGGGGGATTTCATCCAACAATAGATAGTATGTGTGGGTGTGCATGTATTTTTGTATGTGTGTGTGTGCATCCATGGTGTTTACTCATGCATGTGAGTGGTACATGTGTGCATGCATATGAGTACATGTGTGCATATGTATTTATGAGAGCGTCAGGTGCCTTCTTCCATGGTTGCTTTCTTTAGAAAGAAGCACCAGTTAGGACAGATGGGAAAAGCTGCAGCATGTTCTGATGGGAGGAGACAGAACCAGAGGGCACACACCAGCCTGGGCAAGGAAAAACAAAGAGAACTGACGACTGACCTCCAGCTTTCAGATGCTACTGTGTGTGTAGTGCCACTGGAAAAAAGAGCAAAGTCCATCTGACCTCAGAGTCAAGTGCCCAGAGTGTTGAGTGGTGTGGGTCCCATCCTTCCCTTCCAGCTGCTGCTTCTGACAGCTCAGAGTCTCACTATGGTGCAAACATGTCAACACCATGAAAACCTGACTGCTCTTTACACTCTGATGAAGCTCTTTCTTGAGGTTCACATTATTCATATAATTTTGATCCTTTGTTCAGCAGTATAGATAACTATCTGTAACCCCAAAAAGGACTTGGCAGAAGTTCTCTAGTGCATTGTTTTTTTAAAAAAATAGAAATCAATCAGCATAACTTAACTAACTTCATCTACTCATTTTTGAGCCATTTCTATCTAAATTTGCATCTCCATGTTTGCAACACTCAAGTCTGGGACTGTACCTACACCAAATAAAGAGAACTGGAAAATTTTCAAACATCAGTTTATACAGACAACCAGGCTGTAACGGGAGCTCAGTAAATAATGAATGAATGGCTGAAAGTTCCAAGAAAATCTATCTTAAGAGATTCACATAAAAGGAAGATATGTATTATGATTTATGGTCAAATACTAGTATTACATTATAATAATATTCCAAAGTAAAATTACAACTTTGCTTAAGGACAGCAATGATCACAATTAGTCCCAAATAGGAGTCTTCTTTTTTTTTTTCTTTTCCTTCTCCTACTTTTCCTTCCCCTCTTCCTCATTCTCTTCTTCCTTCTAAGTGCATCTCATCAAAGATTGAAACATCGAACTCATTTTGGATTTAGATGTTCTCATGCAGCTATCACACTGTCCAAAATAAACAGGAAACCCATGTTGCATTAACTGGGTTCATAGACACAGCCTCACTCTAAATCTAGCACCTAGATGGTTTGATATTTCAACAACTGAATTGAAAGTATATCATCACCTTGGAGTCGGCACTTAAAAAAGCAGCTTTTATTTTGGCCAGAGGTAGTTGTTTACAACTTCAAATGGGAGACTATTCATAATTTCTGACATGATCTTTTGCTTAATTTTATTGTATAAAAGTATATAATCTAATTTCCCACAAAAATATTACTAATAGGAAAAGTAGAAAGCAAGGCTAAAATATTTGTAAAATTATAATTTTGACTTTCCTTCCTTCCTTTCTGCTTTCCTTCTCTTTCTCCTCCTTTCCCTCTCCCTCTCCTTCTCCTAGTCTCTGACTCTTCCTGTCTCTCCCTCTCTCTCTTTCCCCTCCCCCCCTTTGTTTGTTTTTTTTTTTCCCAGATAAAAAACATTTATTAAAAATGCATGTGTTTTATTTTCTGATTATAATAGAAACACAGCCTGGACGATATAGTGAGACCCTGTCTCAAAATAAATAAATAAAAGTAATAGAAATACGTTTCCTCACCAAGTTTGAAAAGCTGGTGGCATTCCTAGCCGGAAGCAAGCAAAAAGGGAGAATTGTTCCTGACTACAACCTGTTCCAGGCATAACACAACTGTCTTGTGTTTAGCTACAAGGAAAACATCATGCGCCTCTCCAGCCTTCACAAGGACCGCCCCGTGGAGCCGCTGGACTTGGCCGTGTTCTGGGTGGAGTTTGTGATGAGACACAAGGGGGCGCCACACCTGCGCGCCGCGGCCCACGACCTCACCTGGTACCAGTACCACTCCCTGGACGTGATCGGCTTCCTCCTGGCCATCGTGCTGACGGTGGCCTTCGTCGCCTTTAAGTGTTGTGCTTTTGGCTGCCGGAAATGCTTCGGGAAGAAAGGGCGAGCTAAGAAAGCCCACAAGTCCAAGACACACTGAGAAGTGGGTGGGAAATAAGGTGAAATTTTGATCAATTCCAAACTTGAAAACAGAATCAGTGTTAAATTCATTTATTCTTATTAAGGAAACATTTTGCATAAGCTAGTCATCCCTAGAGTGGTTTGAAATATTTTTTTTTAACAAAAATAATCGAATCACTAGTCAATAAAGATATTTGAATATGAATTCTGTCCCCTCCAGTACCTTTAATCTGGATTACACTTGTCGTCTTTCAGATGACTTGCATAGAGGGCTGGCATGCTGCATCACCCTTCTTATTCAGGAATGTGGCCTGTTTGGTGGCGCAGAATTCAGAGGTGTTGCCACGCATGGCTGCCCCCACTTCTGATGGCGGTTTTGACCTCATCATCTGGCTTCTATAGATTGTTGTGATTGATCCCCTCACCCATAATAATCTGTCCTCACTTAAATTCGTGCTTCATAGGTATCACTTTGTGTGATGAAGGGAAGGGAAGCTTTGTACCTTTAGGACATACTTGAAATGAATGAATGGATTGAGTCTATTGAGAACAGTGTATGATTTCTTATTCTGGGGAAAAGGAATGATGCTATTCATATAAAATTGATGGGTGGTGTATTTGAGAAGATAATTGTGGTATAGATCAAATGGTTCTGAATTTGATAAAAACCCAAAGTGTAGTGCTGGAGTGCTGGAAAAGAATATCTTCTCTGTTTCCCACAACTAAAAATGTATTAATAAATTCATATAAATTATATTTTTAGGTGTTTTCTCTTCATTGGTGTTGCAGTTATTTGTTGTTACATTACATTTTTCCAAATAAAAAAGTAGTGCATGATTATGACAGAAAGTTTGAAAAATACAGAAATTCACACAAGCACACACATTCATTGCATGTGCATATACAGGCACACAAGAAAAAAAATCACCGGTAATCATATTGCCCAGAAATAACCACTGTTAATAATTTGGCAAATGCATACACTTACAAAACATTGCAGATATACCAAATATACCTAGAGTTGGTTTTTTTTTCTTTTTTTTGAGTTGGTGTCTCACTCTGTCACCCAGGCTGGAGTGCAATGGCACGATCACAGCCACTCCAGCATTGACCTGCTGGACTCTAGCAATCCTTCCGCCTCAGCCTTCCAAGTAGCCGGAACTACAGGCGTACGCTAACACGCCCAGCTAGTTTTTGATTTATTGTAGAGACAAGGTCTCGCCAAGTTGACCGGACTGGTCTCGAACCCACAGACTCAGGCAATCCGCTCACTTTGGCTTCCCAAAGTGCTGGGATTACAGGCTGAGCCACCGAGCCCAGCCTACCTAGTGTTTTCTAACATTCTGTCTTCACTTCACTCTCTCATGAGTGTTCTCCCAATGCTCTTGTATATCAATTTATTTTTAGTGGCTGTTAACTTAGAAAAAATCACACAATCATAAGTTTGGAAAGGAGACTTTATTTCTTGTAGAGGGTTGCAACCTGCAAAGTAGCCACCCTGCAGGCTGAAGACCAGAGATAGGCACTTCAAAGGAGGAGGGTTTGGACAGGAATTTAAGCTTAACAGGTTGGCCAAGTATATGTATTCAACAAGTTAGAGACAAGCTATGAATATTCAAGAAGGTAGTCCTGACTCATCGTTTTGAACAAATATGCATGCAACACAAGACTCATGTTCACTTTAGGGTGGAAACACCATTTGAATGTATTACAGTTAGGCCCTATACATCAAAAGGTACTCTCTGGACAGGAAAAGGCACTCAAGTGTGTAGCTTCTATAAACCAGACAGAACCAGTCCATGATCACTTGTCTTCTTAGCAGAAGAAAGTTACTGAAATCAGCTTCTTGTCCAATCAAAGTCATAGTTGTGGCTTGTGAAACAAGGGGTCAATTAGTATCTGCCAGTGGATGAACTGCAGATTGTTTTATTATTGCTTATCTTGAGGTGTGGCTTATCTTATTTAGCTGCTAGAGAAAAAGAAAAGCCTTGTGGCAGTTAGGGCATAGTTTATTCTTTGTGGGTAGGGGTGTGTGACTCAAACTTCCGCCTGGCATGGTTTTAGGTCCTGTTTATCATTGGTGTTTTATTGCCACAGAGTCAGTTCTGTCAGTCTTTTGGTCTCTATTTTAACATGAATACTGGTCATTTGTGTCTAAACCAAAAAGAGGAGAGGGGTATAATATTAGAGGCATGTCTGACCTCCCAGCTCGTCGTGGCTGGGAACAAAAGTGTTTAGGTTTTTCTGGGGTCCCCTCAGTCAAGAGGGTGTCCTTTCAGTCGATGAGAGGCTTAGGATTTTATTTTTAGTTTACATGGCCAAGCAGTGTTCTACTGCATAGATATACCAGGATTTGTTTAACCGCAACTTTCATGAATTCACTTTTATTTTATTTTTACAAAAAAGGCCTCCTTGAACATCCTAGTAGATAAGTCTTTGCATATATTTATGATTATTTCTGCAAGAAAGTGCTTTACAACAAATTGCTGGTTGCCTCAGTCTGGATTCCCTTGAGATGAGGATTCATGGGCCAAGAATTTATCTGGGAAGTGAAAGAAGCACTGATTGGGTAGTGGTGGAGTGAGACAGGTTGATGGCCACTTTGGAGTGAGAAGGGGTGATGGCCTTCTGGGTGACTCTAGGAGACAGTGGAGAAAATACACCCCATACTTATCCCTCCCAAGGAACACAACTGTTGGGTATTTGAACACTTGCCCTGTCACTGATTGGCTGGGACCTGCTCCCAGGTAGTAGTAATTTCTCTCCCCTTCCAGATGGGGACTTTAAAAGTCAGAGAGAGTCTGAAGGAGAGAAATCCAGGCCCTTGTCACGAGGAGGTGCTGAAGGGATCTGGGTGGGGCACTGTGGCATTGCTACCCTGGGGAAATGGCTGGAGACACACCCACACTGCAACCAGAGAGTTGCTATCAATGTGTGAGAGAGCCAGTTTTCCACACTCTCATTAGTACAAAGTACTGTCTTGAGAAAGGAAGTCTATTAGTGTGATAGGCGGAAAATAGGGTCTTGTTTTAAATGTGCTTTGATTATTATTGTTAAATGTTGTATTTTCTTCAAGATTATGAGCAGTTTGCATTTCTCTTTTGAGGACATCCTTTGCCTGTTTCCTGATTGAAGTATATTACTCTGAGGGTTTGTTGAGGGCTTATTGCATTAATCAGAATATCCTTTCTGTCTTGTACTGTATTTTCTCCGTTTGTTTTTCTGTTGTTTTGCTTTATTTTTTGTTTTGCGTTTTAAATGTGTAGGCTTTAAATTGGAGCTGGGGTCACACGGAGAGCAGAGATTTCAGCTGGTCTCCTGATCCTAGCCCCATTTCCTCCTTCCCTAGGTAGTTGCTGGAACATAATCTCTTCATATTAGTTCCCTCTCCACAATGCTGAGGCTCTGCAGTGACTCCAAAACTACATCTATCTTCCTCCAAGGCCCTTCCTGGTCCATCCACAGACCATCTCTCAGCCTCACTGCTCATGATGCCTCACCTCTCTCAGGGACCCCCAGGCGACTGTGACCTCCACCAGTCCATGCTCTTTTGCTGGAGCTGGCCTGGGACCTGGCTTTGTGTCTGTAGCATTAAGGCCTTCTTATTTTCAAGTAAAAGAACCAAACTCAGGATATCTTAAGTTTAAAAAAAGGGTATTTATGTGAAGAGACGGGCTTCTTACCAGCCACGCCTGTGCTGAGCAGAGCAGAGCTTGTCCTTCCCCCTCCTGTCCCTTGTTTGCTCTGGGTGCCAGCTTTACTCTTCCCTCTCCTCAGGGCTGTTTCTGGTCCTCAGTCCCCAGACCTCTCCAGGCCCAGCTCCCAAAATCCCACAGGAGACTGACTGAATTCTCTCTTACCCAGAGGTCCAAGTTCCTCAAAGTAAAGATCTGATTTGTCCAGCAGGATCATGTATCCAGACCTTGTCCAACCAGGAATGTTTAGGGAGGGACTGCAGTGAAAACATGGCTCTCAGGATCCTATCAATGTGGCTGCATGGGTCAGGGAAAAGAGAGCCTTGGGAGCTGGGCAGAACCCCAAAATGTGTCCACTCTGTAGGAGCTGCCTCTGGGTCAGCTTCTGCACAATATTTCCATTTCCCCCACATTCTGCCTTGGCCCTTTCATGCATTTAAGCTCACAAGTTTAGTGTTTTCTTATTTCTTGATTCCCACAGAAGAGGAGGTGGGAAGCTTAATACAGTGACAGCATCTAAAAGAGACTGCTTTTGAGAATGGACTGTGAGTTCAATACTGCTATCACAATCAGAAGGAAAAAAAGTATTTCAATTTGGTAAATCAAGCAGAGCACATTTCTTTCTCCCTGACTTCATTGTCGCAGTGTCCTCTCTAGATAACATGTTCATGGTCATCTTACTTTTTGCCATGGCTTACACACTCACCCTGTGTGTAATTTAAAGACAACTCCTATCTCTATCTTCCTGATAGCCACATCCTTCACGATGTAACTTTTCAGCTCTTCTCATCAAGAGGAGGAATGCATTTCTCTAGCTCTTGAATTGTGACCTGCCTTGGCTGATCGAATGTGGCAGGCAATGGGTGTTTGTTGGCTTCAAGTCTAAAGAGAGAACAGCCAGGTATAACTTTGGTGCATGATGTCCCAATCTCCCTGGTCACTTCAGAAAATAACTAGCCAATGGCCAGCCCTCCAGCTGTGCTTGGCAGGACATGGCACAGATCAACAGAAACACCCCACTAACCCATAGACCTGTGAACAATAATACATGGATGTTTTCAGTCATTGTATTTTGACGTGGTTTGTCACACAGCAATTGCTGGCACATTCACTTCTGGCTCTAAATTTATCATCTTTCACATGAAGAGTCTGCAGACCTTCAGAAGAAAAAGATATGTCCCCCCTTCCCTGTATCCACCACAGCTTAGAGAGCCATGCTTAGCCACACACAGCAGTCAGAGTCTGTGGAATGCAATTGCAATCACGTTGCTTGAGTGATCTGTGAAAGAGAAGAGAAGGCCCAGTGGGAAGTGGAAGGAGGTAGCACAGAGGGAGTAGTTAAAGAGGGGCACTGAAAACTATCTTTATGTGTCTGTTTCATGTTGATCAATGTTTCTCTGAAGGGCAGAACTTGGAACAATGCAGGAATTTTATGGGAAAGAAATTTTCAGCACCATCTGAATTCCTTGAAGTAGAAATGGGCTGCTCCTGAGAGTAATAAGCTCCCTGTATTTGAGGTGTACAAGCAGAGGCTGAGGAACTCCCAGTTGGCAGGATGAGAAAATTTTGAGTGGGAATTTTACCTAAGAAGACTTGGTCCTAGATGGCTTTGAGTTTTGTTCTGTGGCCTGGTAATGCATAGAAAGTTTTCCCAAAGGCCAATATTTCATTATTCAAGCTATTGATCTGGACTATTTCTCTTAGCTACCACTGACAGGGAAATCTTTTGGGCCCTACTTTCTTTCTTTCCTTTTTTTTTTTTTTTTTTTGAGTTGGAGTCTCACTCTGTCACCCAGGCTGGAGTGCAGTGGCAAGCTCACAGCCACCGCAGCCTCGACCTGCTGGGCTCAGGCGATCCTTCTGCCTTAGCCTTCCAAGTAGCTGGAACTACAGGCATGTGCCACCATGCCCAACTCGGGCCCCACTTTTGGTTTAGGGAAGCAGAGTCCCTTGCTCCTTTACCTGTCTTTGATATTCCTTATCTTGTAAGTATCCTGCTAGTGGGAATCCACTTCTTCATCCTGCAAATCATCCAGTCCTTGGCAAGGAGGAATCCTCTTCCCAGGACCTCTTTGTCACCCCCTCCTCTTTTCTCCAGCTTTCCTGACCACACCTCCCCACCCTGGGCTCATATGACAGCATCTGTCTGGGATCAGTCCATATGTTGTAAACTATCCCCACTCTCACTATTCCTCTTTCCCAAACAGGCCACTGTACTTCAGCACACACATGTGAGTAACAGAAATGTTTAATGACAGCATGATGTGGAGTTTTTACTCCAAGGGCCCTTTGCACTCCTTAAAGCCTTGAGTTGATAGAGACTCAGGGAGGCAGTTGGACCTTAAAGTTCCAAGGGTCTGGGATCTAACGGTGATGATTCTGATGAAACCCTCCCACCCTGCCAGGAGACTCATTCCTCATAGGGAATATGACTGAAGAGCCCAACTGTCTCACTTTGGTAACCAATCCTGCCATTCGCGTTTCCATCGATGTGTATTGGGCAAAGAACAGAGCTTTTTCTTGTGGCTTATTTTTGTTCCATCCAGAAGAAGACCCTAATAAAAGGTCAGTATTTAGGCACCAGACTATCTCTTTAAAATCTTTCAAAGGGAAAAGGAGCACAGGATGGTGAAGGGCCACAGGATTGACTTTGAGGATTGAGAAACTTGGGACAGGAGGAGAAAGATCTTAGAGCCTTTATCTTGACATCTACGTTGATGTTTGTCAACCCTTAAGAAGCTGTAAGGTCAAGAGAGCCCCTTGAATGGAGTGATGAGAGCTGCTGGTATGGATTTTTCATCAGCCATTAATATTCAGTGTTTAGAAAGAGGGAGAACCCTTTTTTTCTTTTTTTTTTGAGTTGGAGTCTCACTCAGTCACCCAGACTGGAGTGCAGTGGCCGCTCCCGGGCCACCGCAGCCTCGACCTGCTGGGCTCCGGCGATCCTTCTGCCTCAGCCTTCCAAGTAGCTGGAATTACAGGCACGTGCTACCATGCCCGGCTGATTTTTTAATTTATTGTAGAGATGAGGTCTCGCTGCCCAGGCGGGTCGCGAACCCGCGGGCTCAGGCAATCCACTCACCTCAGCCTCCCAAAGGCACGGGATTACAGGCTGAGCCACCGAGCCTGGCTGAGAGCCCTTTTTAACTTAGTGTATTAGTTACCTACTGCCGTGTAACAAATTATCATAAACTTAAATGGCTTAAAAGAACACCCATTTACTGTCTCACAGTTTCCATGGGTCGAGTCTAAGCCTGGCTATATGGGGCCTTTGTTCAGGGTCTTAGAGGCTGCAGTCCTTTCTGGAGTTCAGGCTTCTCTTCCAAGCTGGTATGGTGGTTAGAAGAATCCAGTTCCTTATGGTTGTAGAACTGGGGCCCTCAGTTCCTTGCCACATCGCCCCCTCCAAAGGCAGTTTATATCACAGCTATTTGCTTTTCAGTGCCAGCAAGAGAATGTCTCTCTCTCTAGTCTGCTAACAAGGAGTCTTATGGAGCATACCATGATCATAGGTGTGATTTCCATTATTTTTACCATATGATGCAACTCAACCAAGGGAGGGGCACTCCATCACTTTTGCCATATTTGGTTGGTTAGAAAGAAGTCACAGGTTCCACCCATCAAAGGCATGGGTTTATACAAGGATGTGAATTATTGGGAGTCATCATAGGATGTGTTGCCGCACTCAATAGTTTACAAATCTTGATGATCTCAAAAGAGCTTGAGGAAGAGATGGCAGAAGCAGCAATAGACTCAAATGAAGACTTGTCGGAGGAAACAGAGGACCTGGAACTTCTTGAATCCGATGACAATGGTAAGAAAGTCACCCGCATCCCCATGTTTCTGCCGCATCTTGACCACTAACTTCTGGAAGACAGTCCCAGCCTAGGTCTCAGTGTCTCCATCTGCACAGTGGACATAACACCACAGGTGAAGCTAGGTGTGCAGGTGTAGGGGAGGCCAAGGACACAAGGGGAACCTCCTGTAATGGTCATTTTAACACTGTACCTGAGCCATCTTTATTTTAGGTACCTTCCAACAAGTCACAAACCTTCTGGACATCATTGACAGTGAGTCATCAAACACAGGCACAGCAGGGCCAGGTCTTGACATGCGGAAGACCCTGGCCTCGGTGATAATCACAGACAAGGCCACCACCAAGCCATCTGTGGTGATGAATGCTCTCATGCGCTGCCTAAAGGTGCCAGAGGTAGGGCCGCCTCACCCTCTAGGCTCAGCCACCTTCAGCTGTTTGTGCATCCATCCACTACTTAGCACACATTGACTGTCACAGACATGGTACTCAGTGCTGGGACATGGAGATGAGCAAGACTGTGAGATGTTTACTCCTTGAAGACCAATTGGGACCTGGAGCATTCATAATTTTTAAAAACTCTCTTGTATTCTGACACCATGGGTTTGGAAGCTATTGACCTAGAGCACATGAGCTGAGTTGCAAAGATGTTGAGCCAGTGTGATGGGAGAGCAATAACATACCAGACACAGGTTGCAGGAATGTTTGACCAGTGGAGAGATGTTTAGCTGTGTCTGGGCAGGGGATGGGGTAAAGGATGTGGAAGGAAGTGAGGCAACTGGACACCATGATATGCTTGTACCAGACTAGGTTTGGGCTAGAGCATCAGAAACCCTTGAAGGCCTTATTAAAATGCATATTGCTGGGTCCCACCCCAAGAGTTTCTGATTCAGTAAGTATGGGGTGAGGCCTGAGAATCTGCACTTCTAACAAGTTCCCAGGTGATGATGCTGATGTTGCTGCTTTGCAGACCACATCTTGAGTTCTGCTGGGTTGTAGACAACCAGCTAGCTTTGGGGTGGGTAGCAAAGGGATTCTACAGAAAGTTTTGTTTTTATTATAGTTTAATTTATATTTTGATTTCTCCTTTTATTTTTAGTTGGTACACAATAATTGCACATATTTATGGGACACAGTGATATTTCAAAACATGTATACAATGTCTAATGATCAAATCAGGGTAATTAGGATATCCATAGCTACAAATATTGTTCATTTCTTTGTGTTGGAAGCATTCAAAATCTTCTCTTTTAGCTCTTTGAAAATATGCAATAAATTATTGTTAGTGATGTCCACCATACAGTGCTATAGAACACTAAAACGTATTCCTTCTATCTAGCTGTAATTTTGTATCTGTTAATCAACCTCTCCCAATCCTCCCCTCCTGCCTAACCTTTCCAGATTTTAAAAACCAAAATTCTGCTGGGTTCGGTGGCTCAGCCTGTAATCCCAGCACGTTGGGAGGCCAAGGCTAGAGGATTGCCTGAGCCCAGGAGTTCAAGACCAGCCCAGGCAACTTGGCGAGACCTCATCTCTACAATAAATGAAAAAATTAGCTGAGCTTGGTAGCGTGTACCTGTAGTTCCGGCTACTTGGAAGGCTGAGACGGTTGGATCACCTGAGTCCAGCAGGTCGCCGCTGGGGGTCCTTGAGCATGCCAGTAAACTCTAGCCTGGGTGATGGAGTGAGACTCTAACTAAAAAAAAAAAAACAAAAACAAAAAAAAGAAAAAATAAAACCAAAATTCTACTCTCTACTTCTATGAGCTCACCTTTTTTTGTAGTTCTCACATATGAGTAAGCACTTGTGCTGTTTATCAACCATGTGCTTTTTATCAACCTGAGTCTGACTTACTCACTTGGCATAATGTTCTCCAGTTCTATCCATATTGCTGAAAATGACAGGATCTCATTCTCTTTGATGACTAGATAATATTCCATTGTGATATGTACCACATTTTCTTTATCCCTTTAACCAAGGATGAGCACTTAGATTGATTCCATATCTTGGCTACTGTGATGTATTGTACTGCAATAACCATGGGAGTACAGATATCTCTTTGATATATTGACTTCCTTTCTTTTGGATATCTACCCAGTAGTGAAATTGCTGGATCATATGATAGTACTATTTTTAGTTTTTTAAGGAACCTCCATACAGTCTTCCATAAAATCTCCATTAATTTACATTCTAACCAACAGCGTACAAAGGTTCCCTTTTCTTTCCCTTTTCTCCATATTCTTGCCAGCTTCCATTATTTCCCATCTTTCTGCTAAAAGCCATTGTAATTGGGGTAAGATGTTAGCTCACTGTGGTTTTGATTTGCATCCCTCTGATGATTTGTGATGTTGAGTATTTTTTAAATATACCTATAGGCCATTTGTTTGTCTTCTTTTGAGAAATGTCTACTCAGAACTTCTGTGTATTTTTGAATGAAAATTTTTAAAGCTATTTAGTTGTTTGAGTTTATTTTAGATTCTGTTATTAGTTCCTTGTAAAATGGAATTCCTTACAAATATTTTCTCCCATTCTGTGGGTTGTCTCTTTGCTTCACTGTTTCCTTTGTTAGGTAGAATCTTTTTTGCCTTATGTAGTCCCATTTGTCTATTGTTGCTTTTGTTGGCTGTGCTTTTGGGGTCTTACACACAAAAAATCTTTGCCCAAACCAATTTCCTGAGGCTTTTCCCTAGTGTTTTTTTTTTTTTCCCTAGTAGTTTCATAATTTCAGGTCTTAGACCTAAGTCTTTAATTCATCTTTATTTGGTTTTTGTATATGATAAGAAATAGGGGTCTATTTTTATTCTTCTGCATACAGTGATCTAGTTTTTCCAGAATCATTTATTAAAGACATATCCCCTCCCCATTATTTGTTCTTGACTCCTTTGTAAAAAATGAGTTGACTGTAAATGAGCGGATTTATGTGTAGATTCTCTATTCTGTTCCATTGGTCTATGTGACTGTTTTGGTGCCAGTACCATATGATTTGGTTACTATGAATTTGTAGTATATTTTGAATTCAGGTAGTATTATACTTCTAGCTTTATTCTTTTTGCTAGGATTACTTGGTTACTTGGGGTCTTTTGTGGTTCCATATAAATTTTAGAATTATATTTCTGTGAAAAATGTCATTGATATTTTCATAGAGATTATAATGAATCTGTAAACTGCTTTGAGTAGTATTTTCTCTTTAACAATATTAACTCTTCCAGTTGGTGAGCGTAGGCTCTCTTTCCATTTGTGTGTGTGTGTCCTCTTCAATTTCTTTCATCGGTATTTTATAACTTTCCTTGCATAGATCTTTCATTTCTTTAGTTAAATTGATACCTAGGCATTTTATATTCTTTGTAGCTATTGTAAACGGAATTGCTTTCTTAATTTATTTTTCAGATCATTTGCTGTTGACATATATAAATGTTACTGATTCTTGTATGTTGATTTTGTATCTTGAAACATTATTAAATTTACTTGTCAGTTCCAACAATTTGTGGGTGGAGTCTTTAGGTTTTTCTAAGCATAAGATTATGTCATCTGCAAACAAGGTTGTTTTGACCTTTTCCTTTCCATTTTGGGCGTCCTTTATTTTTTTCCTTTTGACTAATTGCTCTGACTGGGAGTTCTAGTATTATTTTGAATAACCGTGGTGAAAGTGTATATCCTTGTCTTGTTACAAATCTTAGAAAAAAGCTTTCAATTTTTTCCCACTTAGCACAATGTGGGCTATGGATTTGTCATATGTGGTCTTTATTATTTTGAGGTATGTTTCTTCTATACCCAGTTTGGTAAGGACTTATTTTTTTTCAATCATAGGGAATGTTGAATTTTATAGAATGCTTATTTAGCATCTATTGAAATGATTATATGATTTTTGTTTTTGATTCTGTTAATGTGATGTATCATATTTATTGATTTATGTATTGAACAATCCTTGCATCCCTGAGATGAATCCCATTTGATCATAGTGAATCTTCTTAATGTGTTGTTACATTTAGTTTGCTAGTATTATCTGTCGTCACAGATATTGGCTTGTAGTTTTCTTTTTTTGTTTTGTTTTGTTCTTGTCTGGTTTTGGTATCAGGATACTGCTGGCCTCATAAGATGAGTTTGGAAGTATTCCTTTCTCTTCATTATTTTTTTTAGTAGTTTGCATAGAATTGGTATGAGTTATTTAAATGTTTGGTAGAATTTAGCAATAAAAATCCAGGTCCTGGACTTTTCTCTGATGGGGGACTTCTTATCATGTCAATTGGTTTGTTGGGGTTTTCTATTTCTTCATGGTTCAGTCTTGGTAGATTGCATATGTCCAGAAATTTATTCATTTCCTATAGGTTTTCCAATTTATTGTCATATAGTTGTTTATAATAGTCTCTAATAATTATTTGTATTTCTGCTGTCCCAGTATTTAAATTTCCTTTTTCATTTCTGATTTTATTTATTGAGATTTTCTTTTTTTTGTCTTACTATATGTTTATTGATTTTGTTTACCTTTTTAAAAAATCAGCTTTTATTTTTGTTGATCTTCTATATTGTTTTATTAGTCTCCATTGTTTATTTCTGCTCTGATCTTTATTATTTATTTTCTTCAGCCGGGCTTGGTGGCTCAGCCTGTAACCCAGTGCTTTGGGAGGCCGAGGTGAGTGAATTGCCTGAGCCTGAAGGTTCGAGACCCACCTGGGCAACTTGGCGAGACCTCATCTCTACAATAAATCAAAAAAATTAGCCGGGCGTGGTAGCGCATGCCTGTATTTCCAGCTACTTGGAAGGCTGAGGCGGAAGGATCGCCGGAGCCCAGCAGGTCGAGGCTGCAGTGGCCGGGAGCGTGCCACTGCGCTCCAGTCTGGGCGACAGAATGAGACTCCAACTCAAAAAACAAACACATAACAACAACAACAAAAAGTTCAAGTTATTTTCTACTACTTAATTTGGAGTTTGGTTTGTCTTGTGTTTTAAGTTCTGTAAGGTACATCATTCGATTTTTTATTTAAAGTCTTTCTACTTTTTTGACATAGGCTTTTATTACCATAAACTTTTTTATTAGTACTGCTTTTGCTGTAGCCCATACATGTTGGTATGCTTTATTTCCATTTTCAATTGTTTCCATACAACTTTAAATTTTCATCTCAACTTCTTCATTGGCCCATTGATCATTCAGGAGCAGGTTGTTTAATTTCCAGGTGTTTGTGTATTTTCTGAGTTTTGTTTTGTTATTGAGTTTTTGTTTTATTCCACTGTGGTCAGAAAAGATACTTAGTATAGTTTTTTTTTTTTTTAAATTTCTTGAGACTTCTTTTGTGGCCCAATATATCGTCTATTTTGGGGAATGTTCCATGTGCTGATGAGAAGAATGCGTATTCTACAGCTGTTTGGTAAAATGTCCTGTAAATGTCAGGCTGATTTGG